TAAAAGTGTTTTTGGAAACTCACAGGTAAGCTAAAAAAATGGATAGGCCTAAAAACACTTTTTACGGGCGATACAATTGGTATAATCACGGGCGATACAATTGGTATAATTCCAACAAAATTAGTTTTATCTACTTTTTTCTATCCTTTAAATGATTAAAATTTACTTTCTTTTTGCAACCAGTGTAAATTAGGGAATGATTCTATTCTGTATTTAATGCGATATGAAAGTGTTTTTCGGCACAGTAACAGTCTAGCGTCAAAACATGGAAAAGCCCCAAAAACACATTTTACTGGCGATGAAATAGACACTTTTTAAAAAAGTGCTGCTAAATACATTTTCAACCGTTTAAATGAATAACTATTACATAAATCTTATTACCTTTGTAAAATGTCAGTTATATTTTGTAAAAAATGCAGTATGAAAAACTTGTTTTTTCGGCTATGTAACAGCTAGTCAGCGTTAAAAACATGTAAAAGCCGAAAACCACATTGAACGCGTGATAAGAAAGGTATATGAATAAAAATACCCATAAAATTAGACTTTTCAATCGTTTAAATAATTAACTTTTACTTTTTATTTGTTTATAGTAAAAAAATAATCTAGCAGTCGTTTTTATAATATTTATGCTATATGAACCTACTTAGTTTCAATAGAGTAAAGAACATATATAGAAAAGCAATTTATTGCTGATATATAATGGCTACACATCATCTAAATCATTACGCAGTATTTATTTTTATTATCTTTTCATTTATTTCAGTGGTGAAACTTATAGGTTGGCTCAGGGTGAGCTTTAAGAATTGTTGAATGTCGGTCATCCATCTTATGTCAACTGTGGTCTGTCCACATTTAGTATCGTCGGATACCCACGGCTGAACCATTTACATTTATCAGTTATATCATGTTAAATGTTAATCAACCATGTGTTTCCGACGATGACATTTAGTTGTTAACACTCTACTGGTCTTTTAGTTTGTTAACACTCTAGTGGTCACACTTTTGCCCCAATTGTCTCAAAACTTGGTATTAGAATGTGTGTGACAGGTTTTGATTTAGACATGGATGATCACCTTGGTTGAAAATCAGAAGTAGGTCACAGTAGCCAAAAATAGAAAACTGTTTTTAGCTCAATATTGTTAGGTGAATGGTAACACAGCCTGATTATGGAAAAAAACTTTTTAACTTGCTGTCCAATATAAATGAATTTCTTGGAAAGGTTTTATATGAAGACTATATGTATAACAATTATTGAATAATGAAAATATTACAGTACATTTGAATTGATATGATTATAGATTTCATTTTTATTAATAAACGAAAAAGTATTTCATTTGAAAATTAATGTGTAGATATGAATACAACACACCAGAATATATATATTAATGCATCAAAGTACAGTACATAGATCTGTAACATGGAAAGCTATACAAAAGGATGTACTATAATTTGGTAATTAAGTCTTGTAGGATGATTCAATTAATTCACTTTGTATAGAGTTCAAGCCAGGTCACAACTTTTTTTATTAGATAGCATCACTGAAGACTCAATATTACTGTTTCAATATTCTATACTGAAGTCCATTTAACGGGTGTTTCAAAAAATGATTATTTTGATTGCTCATCTATCGGCTTGCCTAGCAATACACAGATGGAACATCACATCTTCCTTGTCTCATTCATAACTTTGGAAGAAAAAAGGATTGGTGTGAGTCACTTATTAGGGACATTGATCTTGGTAAGAAGATGACCCCTATTGTTTTCGAGGTCAGTAGGTTAAAATCAACATGGCCTTGATGACAAAAATGGATTATATTATCAAGCAATGTATACTTCAGTGCTTTTCAGTGCTTTATCGTGTGGTATGAAAAATATCATATATTTATTTTCATTCTACTCGATGAAAATAAAATCTTATACTTATGGAAGACAACTCGAATATCCTCTATTTATATGAGTGGAAACTAAAGAGTTTTTCATTAACTTGATCTGAGCATACTTTGTATAACAAGAGATCATATCTAATGTGAAGCCAAAACATTTTTGAAGCTATCTGTTTATCATACCTCTTGAAAACTCAGTTGTGTTTTTAATCAATAGATAGGATTTATGGAAACCCTTAAAAATACCCAGAGCACCAAGCTTGGTGTTTTAATTAAGATTTAAGAAACATCCACAGATGTGCTCAGATGAATTGTAATGATCATGAGGCCTCCAGTATGACACTAAATTCTAGCCATTTCATTAAAAAGCTGCTAGAATTGGCCCTTGTTGGGACTTCACCAAAGTTTGTTTTTTTTACATGATGGTGGGAATGGAAAATATTGTTTTCTAAATATGTGCACCATCTGAGAATGGTCTGGACTAATAAGGTGTGTGTAAAAATTTCATATAATTCCCTCAATCCATTTTTTTTCTTCAGAATATATTAATCATTTAAATCCAGAAGAATTACCCAAAAATGAAAAGCTTTTAAAAGCTTTTAACTCAGATGAGGTTAAGAATATTGCAAAAGAAAAAAAATACGATTTTGTCAACTCCATTTTGGGTATTTTCTGATAATTATCTTTTGCAAAGTGATTTTTCCATTTTAAATACCAAAGTTAATATAAGTAATAAGTGCAAATTTAATGTCTTAAGGCTTTCAGACCTACATCGTAAGTGGACCTCTTTTAATGCGGAAAAAATGGGCAAAACTAAATAAAATGAAATTTGAGATGGCACCACATTATGTCTCAGAATTCCATAATTCTTTAGAAATGTCAAACATGTGTGTTTCATAACTTTTTAATAATGGATATAGAGCATATTAGATGTTAAACAACAGAAGAAAGTTGTGCTGAATGTGCAGTAATATGTCATTAGCTAGCAAAATGTAAACAAAGTTGTAGAGCTGTCATTGATTCAGTGCAAAGCATAGCAATGATATATCGATATCGGATGAAAAATATTAACGATACACCGATATATCGATTATTTCCTAAAATTACTTGTCTGTCATTCACTTTCATATCTGTTTAAATGATTTCTGAGTTAAAAGCATGTTCTTTTTAGTGTCTTGTTTATAAAAGCCCATTGCATAACTTTTTTCCAGACCATAAGCACATTCTATTTATGTCATGATTGCTGTGTAATAACAGCATAATGTTAGATATGGACACCTGCTTCTGTTTTCATGTATGTTTCGGGTGAAATTTTCATAATTTCTAGACATTTAATTCATTAGTCAAAATTACTGATTTTTTTTTTTAATGTGTATCCATTATTGATTCTTATTATTATTGATTATTATATTTTCACATGTGGTGTCTTCATTCTGAAATATATTTCGATCTTTTATGCAAAACAAAAGAAATATCCCCTATTTTATGTCAATTTTACAAGAAAAGTAAAGTTTTGTTGATGTACTATAATGCGAACATGTCACAATAAATGTACATTAAGCTTTTTCCTGGAAACATACAACAGCGTTGTTGTTTCTTTGGTTTATAGACATTAAGCAATGGTCAATTTATCATTTTTGATAAATCTCCATTGACAATGCGACTACTGGGATTTCCTTACTTATAATAAAAATAGTTCATATACACAAATTAATAACTTTTGTCAAGTTTCCAGGGACATTGGGCCTGGTAGCTGTTAGGCAATCAAATTCTTTCCCTATATTAAGCAGGATTTTTTATTGTTTGGCAAAACCAGATATAATGTTCTACCACAAAATGATTTACAATCAAGAGTATATGGATTCTGTTTTCCCACTAAAATGTAAATACATTGTTATTATTATATCTTTCTAATAAATGCTTCCTATTACAATCAGATCAGGCCTACAAATGGCCTTAATAAAAAAAGTAGGACAAAAGTTGGAAAGTTAAACCAGGCAAAAATTTGGGGGGAAAAGGAAAATTTTCAGTAAAAAAGAAGAGTGGTAGGAACTTTTTTATATGAAATGTTACAACTTTTCTTTTTCAAAATGATTTAAGTATGTACATTGTAATTAAGTAAACTTTAACCATTTTTCTTGTCTATTTTTATTTTTCTCAACAAATATACTGGAAATATCAAATAAATCTATTTAAAATTCTCTTTCTTGACATAAATTACTATTTAACTTAATCTTTATCATCTATGAAAAATACCCATTAAATTAAAACGCATACAAAGAGAAAATACACTGTTAGCATAATTATGCTTTCAGATAGAAATAAGTGAAATGGCAACAATTTTCTCACATATAACAAACCACTTGCCCTTCACAGCTGTGGGTTCGAATCCTAACAGGGAGTTCGGATTCTTGTGAGAAAGCTATTCATCTAGCTTGATGAATGTTGATGGTTCTACTCAAGTGCCTGTTCGTGCCTGAAAAAATGCACCTTAGGTCTTCCTCCACCAGTTAAGCTGGAAGAGCGCCATATGACCTATACAGCTATACTGTGTCAGTGTGACATAAACCTCCCTTTCAAAAAAAAAATAATATTGTGCCAAAAAATTAAGACCAGAGAGAGGGGAAGGAAAAGATTATTGATCTGAGAGGGAAAAGAAAACACGAATGGTCCCAAAATCTATCGCACTGGCAACATTTCAATATTAGAGATGTCCTTAAATCAGTCCAAAGCATATCAATGGTACAACAATATTGGACAACTGATATTATGCGAGCCTCTGGTGAGCATAATATTATTTCATTCAACATGTTCAATAAATTCAGTAATGAACTTACACAAATTTAATATTTTATTTATCACATACCCAAAAAAATAAAGACCGTTTAAAATGAAAAAAAAAGTTATTTTACATAATGCGTAATATAGTATAATGCTAGCATTTAGCGTGTCCTACAGTATGTTTGTATAACGCTAATGATGTCACGTCAAAATATATGCACAGCCGTGCAATACCATTTTTATGGAGTCGCAAAATCGGCAATGGTCTGTGATCAATATCTATATTTCACTTTCATACCAGTCCTGTTTTCATGATTTCAGTAAAATAATAATGTACTGCGCCTTAATGATTATGACGTGCATTGTTTATAAATGCTCTCTACATATCTTTTTTCCTGACCATCTTTTGTAATCACTGCTATGAAAGATTATTTTCTCTTATGTAATAACAGCATAGTTATAGACATGTCCTTTTAATACAACACTTGTTACTGTTTATCTTTCGGGTGAAATTTTTGTCATTTCTTGACATTTTATCAATAAGTAAAACATATTAAGTCTCTTTTCTGACAATTTTTTGTCACCAATGCTATGAAATATTAAGACAGCATAGTTTTAGCCTTGATCTTGTAACACAGAACTTGCTACCATTTTATCTTTCAGATGTATTTTTTGTCATTTTCTAAGAAACTTCATCAATTAGTCAAAAAAATTATTTTTTTCTACCCTGTATCAACAACTGATGAACAGAATATATCAATAATACTCTGAATTGTTTCTATAGAAATGAAAGCTCTGATTGTCATTTTGTAGCATTCACCCACTTTAATCAATTCCGGCAGTTGTTAAATTTATACCAGTACCTTAATATCTTGGTGACTAGAATTCTTGTCTTGGTTATCATCACTTGATTCAGCAGAATCCAAGACACGCAACCTTTCCTCATCTCCGTCAAAAATAGATTGTAATACTGCTATCTGAAACAAAGATTATAAAATTGAAATTACAAATAAATAGAAAATTTTATATTGTTTCTTGAAATAAAATTCAAATACATGTACCTATTTTTCCATGAAAACTGCACACACACTGGTATACATTAACAGAGAAGAAAACATGCTTTTACAAATAAACTCACGCAAGCATGCTTAATATATACATAGAATCTGATGGTTTAACATCTCGTGTTGTTTGTCCTTTAAATGGCACATTTTTTAATGCCTCTGAAAGGAATAATTGTTTGTTCTTCTTTAGAAAGGCCAAACATGAATGTATTAACCTTTATAATAATAGTTTAAGAGCATGATATCATAAACACAGTTACAGATTTTTAACAGTTGTAACACTGTGAATATAAACATACAGAATGTTTTTTTTTTTTTTTTTTGGGGGGGGGGGGGGTTTACATTCTACCAACACAGTAGAGGTCATTATGGCAACTTGGGAAAAAAATCTCAGGTGTCCTGCCATGCATTATTTCAGGTGCCCCGGTGCCATGCATTATTTCAGGTGCCCCGGTGCCATGCATTATTTCAGGCACCCTGCCATGCATTATTTCTGGTGCCCTGACATGCATTATTTCAGGCGCTCTGCCATGCATTATTTCAGGTGCCCCGGTGCCATGCATTATTTCAGGTGCCCCGGTGCCATGCATTATTTCAGGCACCCTGCCATGCATTATTTCTGGTGCCCTGACATGCATTATTTCTGGTACCCTGACATGCATTATTTCAGGCGCTCTGCCATGCATGATTTCAAGCACAAACAGTCTAGTAGAACCATTTACAATCTAATGTCCCTACATAGACAGTAACATTGTTACCCTTAATATAAGCATAAACTGTAACAGTGTCATTGTAATTATCATTAATAGAGAGATAATGTAACATTGTTATGATAAATATACTGACTTTAACATTGTTATAAACAGGATTGTCAAAAGTTACATAGACTATAAGCATAGCTATAAAATATAAATTATATCAATAGTTTGAACCTTGTTATCATGAACATAGATTATAACATGAATGATATCATAAACATACATTGTTACTAACAATTTGTTATCATGAAAATCAACAATAACAATTTTATCATTAACATAGAATGTATCATTGTTATCATGAACATAGACTGTAACATTGTTATCATTAACATACAATTTACATGACCTTAGACTGTAACATTGTTATCATGATCATAGACTGTAACATTGTTATCATTAAAATAGACTACAACATTGTTATCATGACCATAGACTGTAACATTGTTATCATTAAAATAGAATGTAACATTGTTATCATGACCTTAGACTGTAACATTGTTATCAAGATCATAGACTGTAACATTGTTATCATTAAAATAGACTGCAATATTGTCATGATGACCAAAGACTGTAACATTGTTATCATTAAAATAGAATGTAACATTGTTATCATGACCATAGACCATGTAGACTGTAACATTGTTATCAAGATCATAGACTGTAACATTGTTTTAATAAACATAGAATGTAACATTGTTATTATGACCATAGACTGTAACATTGTTATCATGACCAAAGACTGTAACATTGTTATCATGAACACAGAATGTAACATTATTATAATGACCATAGACTGTAACATTGATATCATTAATATATACTGTAACATTGTTATCATGACCATAGACTGTAACATTGTTATCATAAACATAGACTGTAACATTGTTATCATGACCATAATGTTTTATCATGACCAAATGTTTTATCTATGAAAACAAAACATTGATAATAATTTTACAGTGTAAGTTTTTGATTGTAAGTTAATGTAACATTGTTATCATGACCACAGACTGTAACATCGTTATCATGAACATAGAATGTAACATTGTTATCATTAACATAGAACATAACATTGTTATCATGACCATAGACTGTACAATGTTATCATGACCATAGACTGTAACATTGTTATCATGACCATAGACTGTAACATTGTTATCATGACCATAATGTTTTATCATGACCAAATGTTTTATCTATGAAAACAAAACATTGATAATAATTTTACAGTGTAAGTTTTTGATTGTAAGTTAATGTAACATTGTTATCATGACCACAGACTGTAACATCGTTATCATGAACATAGAATGTAACATTGTTATCATTAACATAGAACATAACATTGTTATCATGACCATATACTGTAACATTGTTATCATTAACAGTGATTAACATAGAACATAACATTGTTATCATGACCATAGACTGTACATTGTTATCATGACCATAGAATTTAACATTGTTATCATGACCATATACTGTAACATCATTATCATTATCATAGAACATAACATTGTTATCATTAACATAGAACATAACATTGTTATCATGACCATAGACTGTACATTGTTATCATGACCATAGACTGTAACATTGTTATCATGGCCATATACTGTAACATTGTTATCATTATCATAGAACATAACATTGTTATCATTATCATAGAACATAACATTGTTATCATGACCATAGACTGTACATTGTTATCATGACCACAGACTGTAACATTGTTATAATTAACATAGAATGTAACATTGTTATTTTGACCATAGACTGTAACATCATTATCATTATCATAGAACATAACATTGTTATCATGACCATAGACTGTAACATTGTTATCATTAACATAGAATGTATCATAAATTGTAACATTGTTATCATGACCATAGACTGTCTCATTGTTATCATTAACATAGAGAGTAACATTGTTATCATGAACATATAATGTTACATTGTTATCATGACCATAGTATGTAACATTTTTATCATGAACATAGAATGTAACATTGTTATCATGAACATAGACTGTAACATTGTTATCATGAACCTAAACTGTTACTTTGTTATCATGAACATAAACTGTAACTTTGTTATCATAAACATATTTCATTGTTATCAGAAACTTTAACATTGTTATCATGAACATAGATTGTTACATTGTTATCATGTACATAAACTGTAACTTTGTTATCATAAACATATCTCATTGTTATCAGAAACTTTAACATTGTTATCATGAACATAGATTGTTACACTGTTATCATGAACATATTGCATGTTTTGTTATCATTAACTTACAATCATAAACTTACACTGTAAAATTGCTATCAATGTTTTGTTTTCACTATAGTCCTTCTTTATAATGGAGGTATACTGATATATGCATAGATAAAACATTTGCTACATTCTGTTACAGCAGTATCCCAAAGCCTTTAGAAAGAAAAATATTAAAAACTTTTACATCAGCAAAATTATTTCTCAGAATATTTCATTTGTCAACAACACTCTTTTCAAGAGATATTGATAAGGATAATCTAGAATTCTGTAAATGCAGGTTTTTTTAAACACCTTATCCCGGGTACAAATAAACTTTTACAATAACAGTAACAAGTTGGTAAATATATCAATAATATTAAGTTTAACACATCAATCATTTTATTGAGAATGGTAAAGCAGGGTAATGCACCATGTAGCTATAATGGTAAAAAAACCCAAATTTATTTTTTAGTTCCATATTTTATCTATTACCTCTTCATATTGGGCTTGAATATTTTCCTGGAACTCTGTAAGGTTATGTATATCAGGAATGCCTCCTACGGCCATTGTTGTTCTAACAGCTATTTCTCTGACCTAATATGTACAAAAGAAACAAAATATGAGCCGCGTCATAACAAAACCAACATAGTGTGTTTGCGACCAGCATGGATCCAGACCAGGCTGGGCATCTGCACAGTCTGTTCAGGATCAATGCTGTTCACTTACAAACCCTATAACAAATGCTGTTCACTTACAAACCCTATAACAAATAGAGAAACTAATAGCGAACAGCATGGATCCTGATCAGACTGCGGATGCGCAGGCTAGTCTGGATCAATGCTGGTCGCAAATGCACTATGTTGGTTTTTTCGTGACGCGGCTCAAATATTATCATATTACAATTTAATATGCAATAGTTGTGTCATTGATTAATATTCTTAAAAATTTCAAAATAATTTGTACATACTGTACATATAATGGTCATAAAATTGATGGCTCTAAAAAGCGCCATGTCAATAGAAATTTCAATAAATGAATAGCCCTTTAAATTACCGCTTAGTGATAATATACATTTGACATGCATATGACCATGCATTATGGACAAGGGTATTTAAATTCAACAATCTCATTTTAATAATTCCAAAGTTTATAATTATCTTTCTTTTTTCGATTGCTGAAATAAACGGTAAAGATAGTTTAGAAACTTTTGGAAATGAAGACGAGTCTCAATTACATCTTACAACACTTTGGACTTTAATTTTACACGGCTGTAGATGTAACAGTTTATTAACTTGTAAGCCTGTCTTATTAAAACAGAACCTGATGAAGGGTAAATAATACCCGAAACCGGTAATTTAAATAAATACAGAAACCGACCTGGTGTCTTGAAGTGTAACATTCTCCCCTCCCCATCTTTTAATTTATTGTTTAAAACAGAAAATATTAAATTTCATTGTGTCTGTCAAAACATTGTACCAACTTGCGAAACATTAATCTTGTTTCCACTAAAGCAACAATATTTTCTTAAGTAAAGCAACAAATGCGTGACAATGAATAGATTCTTCTACTTTATTTGAAGATTGATTCACATATAGATTCAATACAGTGTAAAACATAGCCAGTTTAAAACAGATTTTACTAAAACCCTTAAAATTCTCAATTTCTGTAATGGATATTCTCTGTTTTGAATATTGAACAGTTCATTCAATGGGATTTTGATTTCAAAATACAAAAACTGAGCTACCCAACTGTATCGACTAGTCTGGTCAGGTGAAACGGATTTTCAGGATGTCCCTTTGTTCTCTACTGGTGGCAAAGGCTACTCTCTTTTGGCTCTAGTATCTTAAACCCATGGACTGCTGATGATAACTGATTCGTAACCCATACAACCTCAGTGCAGACCAAGTTCTGTCTGTATAGTCTGATCTTGGCCTGCACTGTTTGCTATTCAGTCAGTACATATTTTGAAAATATGTTTTGTCCAGATTAAAAGATGAACAAGTCCATTTAAAGGGACTCCACTGAGGTATTTCTGACAGGACTTGAAATAATTTTTCTGGATTAATGTTCCATTGCTTGTAGGTCTAGACCATTAATTTTGTGTGCAAATTTTAATTTAATTTGGCCACATTGTTTTTTCCAGAATGATCATTCTTAATGTCAAAAATGATCCAAAATTGAACACTTTTGACTCATATTGAGCTTAAATAACACGCAAATAAGTACTCAGATTTCAATTTCTTCAGAGTATATTTTTGCATAATCTCTCTGATTTTGAAGTACCCTGGTTGATTTACATTGTATGTAAAAAATTCAAATTTTATGTTTTTAGGCTTTTGGACATCAGGGGAGTTCCTTTAAGATATTTAACAGACAGAAAACTATGAGAAGAATATTCAATCAAAGTATTAAGTTTATTGTTCCATGGTGAACCAGAATTAAATATGTAAATTACAATAGTTGTCAGGATGAACGTCCTGCAATGTTGTTATATTTAATAGTATACTTTTATTGTCCGAACTAATTTTTCATAAGCACTTCATATTAGCTTTATGTGTAAATAACTCATGGTGAAGATACAGTATTTGCCATAAAAACAAAACAAAGAATATTTAACAGTTGGAATCTATTATTTCATCGCTGTTTTATTAATGTTATATGAACTCTTTAACTGGCACATTATTTTGCGATCACATTAAAGTTTGTTAGCTGACAAGAAAAAGCAATTTATTGAGTGTCTTAAATTACAAGTTACAGAAAAAATCAATATATTGTTCTTAAAGCATTATGAAAACAATTGATTAATACTTGTGAGACAATATTATCAAGATGATTCTCATGATGTTAACACTAAACAAGAGGTCCACAATGGTCCCAGATTGCTCACCTGAGATTTTCTCTTTATAGAGATCCATTGCTAAACATGAACATGTCCTTAAAGCTGTCAAAAGATTTTGCACAAATGTGACTTTGACCCTTGACTCAATGACCTCATACTCTATATTGGGGTTATCAACTTGCCATGGTCAATGTCCTATTACCAAGTTTCAAAAACCTACACTTATTCCTTCTCATGCAGGGCTCTTGTTAGCATTTTGAGACTGGGGCCAGGGTCTGTCCAGGGGGGAATTTGCATGATTTTCAAAAGAATTTCATTCAAGGGGATCTTTCAACAGTAGAAAATTAATCAATTAAAAACAAGCGAAAACAAGATTCAGTTAACAAATTTATCAACAATAAGCTGCTGTCATGAATTAAATGTAGTTTGGTTATTTCTAAAGAAATTAAATACATCTTTTACACTTTGTGAATTTTTTTTGGTTTTAGGGGGGAAAAACACACTATTTTAATGGGGGTATTGGGACCATATTTGGCCCGAAATTTTACCAAACGAGAGCCCTGTCATGCTGCTGACCCAACATGGATTCTTTCATTAAGTGTTACTGTGTTCTTGACCTTCCACCTTATGACCTCATAATATACAGTATTCATCTACTGGCAATGTATCTACAAAGTTTCATAACCTACATGTAGGTTAATCTCTTTCAAGAAATTGAGCAGACATCGATTTCATAATTATTGTCAATGTAACCTTGACCCTTAGCCTCATGACCTCACAATCAATAGAGGTCATGTTTTGTCCATTGGCAAATGATGAATGGCCTTCAAAATTTCACAGACCTAGGCTTGGTCCTTTTGAAACTATTGAGCTGACATGGATTTTTTGCAAGTGCCAATGTGACCTTGAACTTTGACCTTTCATCTACTGACTATGTCCTTACTTAGTTTCACTTGCCTAGGCTTATTCCTTTTCAAGTTACTGAGAGAACAAGAAGCTTCCACTATATTTCACTGATGCCTTGACCTGAAGACCTAAAAATTCATAATGATCATATACAAACCAAGGACAATTGTCCCAACAAGTTTAACGGGCCAAAGCTTATTCCTTTTCAAGTTGTAGAGCAGACAAGAATTTCACACTTACTGTCACTGTGACCTTGTCCTTAAATTAAATGACCTTAAAGCTGTATTTCTCCAGATGAGCCAAAATATTTCAAGAAAATCAAATTTGAAAATAGTGTACTAACATTTGAAGAAAAGTAAAATGATTCAAGACTCAAGTCATAAGTTACATGTTATGTAAGATTAATGTCTGATTTTGCAGTATTTATCACTATATTTCTACTGCATGAATAATGCAGTATGGGCTTCTTTTATTTGCATATTTTGCCCTTCTTTTGGTAATTAGCTTAGCTTGTAAGTGCTGATTGCAATGTGTCAATTATTTTCTCTGTTCACTTTACAATATTTTACTTTTAAATACATTTTCAGAATTTTCATGAAAATTAGCATGAATCTGGAGACATGCTGCTTTAATATTCAATAATGATCATCCACTTGCCATGACCATCCTCCTTAGTAACTAAGTCAACAGCCCATCAGTAATAGTTCTCAAAGTTACTGAGTAGACATCAATGTGGGTAACAGACAGACAGACAGACAAGCGTTATACCATAATACAACTTATTAGTTACATGATTGAGTAGGAAAAGGTCATTATAACAGTTACATGTATCAATGCAGAAGTGGCAGATTTGGTCATTTAAAGTCACCCAAAGTCAAACTTTCATATCACACCCTACTAAGTGTAATATACTGACTACACAAGAATCAAATTTAAAGACAGAAGCTGACAGTCACTATGTCAGAATCAAATGTAAAAGTTCAACAAGAGCCACTTCTAAAGTCAAACACGAAAGACGAATATTGTTGTAAAGAATATTCTTGGAAAACATAATTTTCTTGAAATATAATTCAAATTTCATATAATTTGACCTCGATGGTCAAGGTCATTAAAAGGTCAACATCACATTTGAATTAAGTCTCATGTCAATTTTGTTATAAAATGTTCTTTTTTCCAAGAATTAATAAAATCCATGTGTATAATTATACACCTGGAAATAAGTTCAGCACACACCGGAAATTTAAAATTGGTTGTGATTGAAAGCACTGTCAGAAGATGACAACTTTTTTTTTTTTTTTTTTTTAAATTTTTTATTCATTATAGCTTTATACCTTTAAAAAAAAGTTCGATTTTCTCGTATATGTTAACACAATATTAATTATGAGTCAGAAACTTTATATTAGACTTACTTAAAGATTTTTAAGAGTTTAATTTTTTAAGCATCCAATCGAAATTATTCTTAATAATGACTGGAAAAAATAATGTGTTTTAATCTAATAGCCTTGTAGCACAAAACAAAAATGCTCCGAATTTGTACTGCTAAAATTTGTTGATGTAAAGGAGTCTTACACTTGATAAATTATTGAAACGAAAATCTGAAAATACATGACATTAGGCAGCATGCAATAAATTCTATTTAACACTGACATTAATATTTAATGCACCTAGATGAGATTTATAAACAATATTCCACCAAGATGACAACTTAATTGAGCTGAGAAATAGCAATATGATAAGAAGCGATACCAATTTAGTAATCATAAACCAGTCAATCTATGAGTTAAGATTATTCTTTACCAGATTATTGAAGTATAAGTAACTGTGTTGTTCTTTACCAAAAATGTGTGTTTACAAAACATTTACTGGTGGATATTTTTGGTAAATGTTGACTATTACGTAACCTAAAATGACATTTTGTGGCCAAATTTTTAATAACGTGTGTAACCGCCACATGCCCAGATGATAGCCTCAACCCTTCTCCTTATACTACAAAAAAAAAAATGTACCAGTAAAGCTTCTAATGTGATTTTGAGGTAAATTTTGCCATTCTTGGTGTAGAGCTTGTTCCAGTTGTTGCAGGTTGACTTCAGGTGGTTAAAACCATTTCCCAAATAAAATTTCAAATTTCAGTAATGTTGTGATCATGTCAAAATTGAGGTAAAAACCTGGGTTTGAGGAGAAGGGTTGAGACTTTCATCCGGGCATGTTTTTTTAATATAAAAAACTTTACATGGACTTAAAATGGGCAAATTTCAAGTTCTCATTGATGTATTCTGTTAACTCTGATTACATTCTATTCCTTTGAGATTTTACTTTGATTTACTCACATTTTTGTCGATCTAACCAATAGAAAGAATTTATACACTGCGACTGACAAATTCTGACCCAGGGATCCAAATTAAAAATCCAGGAATGAAAGGCGATAGTAAACAAGACTTTTGAGATTCTGAATTTTTTAATTAAAACCAATACTGTTTATCAGAACAACTCAGTAACGTGTGTGGCCCATGGAACTGGCATCACACGCTCAAATTCTCCTCCTCATGGAGTGAACGTAACCCCTGATTAAGACTTTAGGCAGGGTCCGCCATTCCACCTGCAGTGCATGTGGAAGGTTTTTCACGTTGACTATCTGGTATTTTGTCCTCCCTCTTTGCCCAGGTTCATCCCAGATATGTTCAATGGGATTCATATACTGGGAGACAGCGGGACAGGGCAAGACCTTCACGTGGTTGCTGGCTAGAAAATTGGCTGTTTAGAAACAGACAGTGTGTGGACCCTTTGCACTGTCTTGCTGGAAAGTTAACCCAGTGCCATGAGCGTGCATGAATGGTAAAAAGGGTTTTTTCCAGAATATACACATAACCCTGTGCTGTAAGGTTGCTGTGCATAACCACAAGCTAGATGTCTTCTGGTTCCCCATAATCCCTCCCCATACCATGGCACTTCCCCCACCAAACCTATCCCTTTCCCAGATGCAACATTGTGCAAAACGTTCATTTCTGCAACAAGAGATTCGCACCCGGCCGTCAGCATGACTTACTCTAAAGAGAGATTTATCCCTGAAAATAACCCAGCCCCACTGGTTTGGTGTCCAGCTTAAGTGACGCTGTGCAATGGCTAACCTGGAGACCCTATGGCAGGGTCTCAGTATGTAACCAGTATATTGTCTGCATGGCACAAATTGGAATGTGGGATTGCATATTATTAGGCCATTTCAGATATTTCAGAGTAATAAGACACTGACAGGTAGCTGCTGAGCAGTAGCCATAGCAGGCAAACAACCAGTTGCAAAGGTGATTCAGCCTAATGACCTGGTCGCACCTTAGTGATGTCACACAAGGTGCACCAGATCTCAGACAAACATGAACGGATCCAGTATTACTGAACTGTTTAATAAGATTATGAATTGTTTGCCTAGACCAGCCAAAATGCTGTGCAACCTCCATAATCGTAGTACCCGCTTGCAGCATCCCAATAACCCGATTACATTGATTTTCAGAGAGCCCTGGCATGGCTACTGAAAGTCTTAAAATTTAGCAATATTTTTTTTGGAAGTTGGGACTAAGTGCAAAAGTTTCTGTGTAAGAAAGAGGTTTTACTCAATATGACATGAGATGATTTGAGGCATGTGCTGTGTAAACAAGAATTTGTAACAGAGTTAACAACGTCCCCCGCCTCGGGAAGTTTTATTTGAAGCATAAAATTGTGCTATTTCAAAAGATTGAAGTATATGATCAATGCTAGATCTGCAAATGCAACAATAAATTTGTTAAAAAAATAAAACGAAACACAGAAATTAAAAATCTATCATGTTAAGCTTTGACCTCTAAGTGTGAACTTGACCTTGGAGGTAGGGGAGCAGGTGTTGTGCATGACATAACGTCTTATAATTGAGACTATTTGTGCCAAGTATTTTCAAAATCCCTTGAACTATGAAGAAGTTATAGATTGGACACAAAATATACCCTATAACAGACTATGTAAATCTTTGACCTCTAAGTGTGACCTTGACCTTGGAGGTAGGGACACAGATGTTACACGTGACATATCATCTAATCATTGTGACTATTTGTGCCAAGTATTTTCAAAATCCCTTAATCTATGAAGAAGTAATGGACGGGACACAAAATATACCAAATAACAGACTCTGTTAACCTTTGACCTCTAAGTGTGACCTTGACCTTGGAGGCAGGGGTTCAGGTGTTGTACTTGACATATCGTCTTATTATTGTGACTATTTGTGCCAAGTTATTTCAAAATCCCTTGAACTATGAAGAAGTTCTAGATCCGACACAAAATATACCCTATAACAGACTATGTAAATCTTTGACCTCTAAGTGTGACCTTGACCTTGGAGGTAGGGATGCAGGTGTTGCGCATGACACATCCTCTTATTATAGTGACTATTTGTGCCAAGTATTTTCAAAATCCTTTGATCTATGAAAAAGTTATGGACCGGACACAAAATATACCCTGTAACAGACTATGTAAGTATTTGACCTCCAAGTGTGACCTTGACCTTGGAGGTAGGTGACCGGCTTTTGCGAATGACACATCGTCTGATTATTGTGAACAATTATGGCAAGTATTTACAAAATTCCTTCATAGATAAGAAAGTTATGGACCGGACACCACATATACCCTCAAATAGACAATGTTGACCTTGAATGAGCAAGTGCGACCTTGACTCTGGAGGTAGGGGTCTGGTTGTTGCGCATGACACATCGTCTATTTATAACAAACATTTGTGCCAACTTATTTCAAATTCCTTTGATAAATGACAAAGTTATGGACCGGACACGAAATATACCCTGTAACAGACTATGTTAATATTTGACATCCAAGTGTGACCTTGACCTTGAAGGTAGGTGACTGGTTTTTGCGCATGACACATCGTCTGATTATTGTGAACAATTATGGCAAGTATTTACAAAATCCCTTCATAGATAAGAAAGTTATGGACCGGACACGACATATACCCTCAAATAGACAATGTTGACCTTGAATGAGCAAGTGCAACCTTGACGGAGCCTATTTCTATATCCCCCTTTTTTTCTTCGAAAAGGCGGGGCACAAAAAACGGAAAACGCTTGTGTATGATACAAATGCACAAGATTATTGGGTTTGTGTAGTGTACCTAGTCCTATAAATATGACGTCTCTTTGAGATATTTTTGCTTCTGGGCAAAGCAACCGACCGACATAAACTATAACAAGCCTGTAACGTCTAATATATTGGACTAATAGTGTATCCAGGTCAATAAAATGATGTAGACTTGCAATGACGCACAACGACTACCCACTGAAATTCAGGTTTACATAATGTCACGAATTTATGTGGATTTACATAAATCCGTGATAATGTTAAGTTCTTTTTTGCCGAGTGTATTAAAATAATATCAGTTATTATGACAACTAATTTATAATTTTGGGCCAAGTTGACACGTACCGAGTAAGTATAAGGGCGAGATGACTCGGTCCGAATTAGTTTAAGGGCCAAGTTGTCCCGGATTTGATAAACAGCGAATAACTTTAACAGTTTAAGCTGTCTGGGAATATTTCAGCAGTACATTAATGTACAGGTAAATTATGTAGTAATACAAATATGCCTTTATCTAATGTATGCCTACCTCTACTGGCTCTAGTTATTAACTTTTTGACACATTAATCACGTTTGTTTACAAAATAATTCGGAACACTTCGCCGGAGTTTCACGGAAAGAGTCGAGAAGTTGCGATTAGGCGACGTAATAGATGATTAATGGTACTCGCCGAGATGATCCAAATGGTCGCCATGACAATTAGACGCTTGGAAAAAAGATTGCTAGACGCTTGAAAATGGCTGACCCAAAACATCAACAACCACAACAAGATGCTCCTCATGGAATGGAGCCCTATGATGTAGGCGGTGAAGGAAATCTTGGTGCTTTAAGCAAAGATCAACAAGAAAAGCTGAACAAATACAAGGTTATCATTATAGTGAAACATAAATGATGATAAGACTTGACAAGTAAAGTTAAATTGACCTCTTCACTTGAGCCTGTATTTTTATTTATTTACTTATTTAGATTAACAAACAAGTCAAGTTATATTTTTTTTTATTATGTCGGTTATATAACATGTGTTAACACAATCTCTAAAGTTAGGACATTAAAGTAACTTTATGACTGATTACGATTGATGCCATTTTGTACAAAGTTGATGAAATTTATGTCACAGGGTGAGAAAAATGTGCAGCCTGACAGGGAATTGAACCCTGCACCCTTGGAATACCATACCACAACTCTACTGACTGAACTTTCCGGCTGTGTATACATTATTTCCCTTAAATAATGAACGTTACTGAACAGTGTCATACTCCCCTGCTATAATGTTGAAATTTGTCCTCGAATTTTTTATGGGTATAAAGAACAATCAGAAATTGGACTCGGAGATTACAGATAGTGAACAGTTTTGAAGCGTGACAAACTTTAAATAGTGAACAGAACTGTGACATTCGCACCCACTATATTGAAATTTGTCATCGATTTACACAGAGTAATGTAAATTAAATTCAGAGCAATACTCTGAATACCAGGGTGTCTGTTTGACCCTTAAAATGACTCTTTGACCATTTTAATTTCCTAAAGACCAGATTTGACCCTCAAGATTTTAACTGGAGGTACAAATTTTGTTAAAATCATGGGGATTTGGCCTTGTAGTTGGCAAAACTTAGTCACTATTGGTCAAAATGACCCTCAGGATTTCATGGCTAGTGAAAACACTGAATTCAGTACAGGACTCAGGAGCTCGCTCTACCTGAATGAGCTATTGGGCCGCTAAATACACACTATCTCCCCTAAATAGTGAACAGTTCTGAATCATGACATTTAGATTTGCTGTAATAGGTACATGTATAACCAGGTAACTAAAAATCTATTTTAATGTTAATCATATGGTGGTACTCCTAAGCTGTTTATTATTATAATAAATCTACTAAATATTTTGGTGAATTCGTAGTGATGAAAAGGACTTACATCCCATAATTATGTTGTATATCTTTACTTTTAATTACATTATGTCCATAGAAGATTAAATTAGTAATCAAAATCAGCAATTCATAATGTCACAGGGTGAGAGAAATGTGCATCCTGACTGGGACTGGAAATTATGGGACCCTTAGAATACTGTTCTGCAGCTCTACAAACTGAGTTATCAGGCCACTTACACATCCTTTCCCCTAAATAGTGACACTGTTCTTCTTTGTGACATACTCCCTGCTATATTAGGCACACTTGCCCTGTTTTTATCTTTTAAATTATTTATTCTGCTCTTATGACTGTTTTTATCCATCTTACTAGTGACATGAAAGTCTAGGTCCCCAGCTGGGATTTGACTCAATGGAAGATAGATAGATATATTGAAATTTGTCCTTGAATTTCTCAGGGTTACAACTACAATGTGAATAGCTATATAGCACAACTCTTAGCTATATGCAGTCATAATCTCCCATTGGGTGCGATATATGTCACACAAGGTGAGAAGAAATATGCAGCCTCCGGCCTGAGTGGGACTGAAACCCAGGAACCCTGAAAAACGGCTACATGGCTCTACAGAGTCTACTGACTGATCAATCCGGCTGCTTACACATTTTCCCCCAAAATTAGTGACAGTTGAAAATATTAGTGACATTTTAAATATGCATAAATATTTGAATGTATAAAATATGATCTACATGTACGTTTACCTTCCTCATATTGGTCTACTTTATGCATGGGCAATAAAAAACAAATATATGTCAGATTCTAGCTTTGTATGTAGCAATATTTTTGCTTAACCTACATTAGTACAAGAGTATGAACAAAAAATATCCTTTGGCTAAAAAATTATTTCTTATTCTGACCATGATTTTTAGCTAGACTATTCAAGAATAAGGAAAGCTATTGTACTAACTCTGCTGTTGGCCTTGATGTTGACATATAATATTAAGCATTACAATTTGGTTGAGTTTGTTTAAGTTAGTTTAAGTTAAATTATCTGCAAAACTCCACAATGGAATGGGTTGAAACTTCACATATGTATTTGAGAGCATACAGCACTATTAAGGCCAATAACTCTAACATAGATTTTGACAGAATTGTGGCCCTTTATGAACTTGGAAAATTCTATATTGTTGTACTATCAAGCACTGACACTGACACAAATAAGTCTTTTCACTAAGTTAAGTTAAATGAACACTAAAATTAAAGGGACTCCATTGAGGTTTAATTAAAAGCCTAAAAACATAATATTTGAAATTCTTACATAAATGAGGTGAAGCACTTTAAACAGAAATATATGCAAAGATAGTTAAGAAATATACTTTGAAATAAATTGAAAATCATATTTTTATGCTTTTCCTAGCCCAATTCGAGTGAAAAGCGTTTAAACGTTTTTTATTTTGGGTCATTTTTTTACAATTTGAATAATTATTCTGGAAAAACGAAGTGCGCAAATGATCTGAAATTTTGCACAAAGATTAATGGCCTAAACCTACATCAAGTAGTACATTTATCTGGAAAAAATATTTTCAGACCCGTCATGTCAAAAAACTTCAGTGGAATCCCTTTAAGGAAATAATATAATATTCAAAAGGAAATGCTATGAATTACAGGTTTTATGGATCAGTATCATTTAAAGACTTATAATAAAAGTATTTCTGTAAAATATTTTCAGATAAAGACAAGAATAGAGAATGAGAAGTATCTTCGAGAACATCCTGAAGTAGAATGTCTGATCTCTGGTTTCCTACAGTAAGTAAATGACCTTGAGGTTTAAACCTTAACGTTCACCTTATGGCTGAGAGGTTGCCTTTACAGGTTTAGGCATCAGAATTGCAGCCACCATTTAACCCTGGGAGATCTTAAGAGAGGACTAAATGGTTCGAATAATTTGAGTCTATGCATTTCTGGGTTCAGCAGGTGAGGTGGTTTTGACCCCAGGTGTTGCTTTGATGTTTGCAACCCTGAGGTGAGCCAAAATCATCTTTCCTGTTTCTGCGTGATATAACTTAAACTGTGTTAGAGCGCTGTGAAACCAAGCAAAACAAACAATCCTTAACTTTCTGAATTAGTTTAATGGATTTGCCCTGGTTTAAACTTGGAATAGTCCATTTAGAGTTTAAGGGATTTTAATTTAGTATCAAAAGCCTGGTTTTGACGTGCAGTATGATCAGATTTTATTCTTAACTTACTGACTTCAAATTTTCATCTGGATGTCCCCAAAATTGATAATGGACAGTTCCAAAAATGGAAGCTGAATAAGTCCATTAAAAAATCTGTAGGTTAAGGGTTAATTTTAACAGGTGTAAAATATTTTAATGACATTAAGAGATATCATAAGGTTTCAGATGTGTTTGTTTAAACCTATATGCATGTAATTGATGGCATAGTAAATAAATTATGTTATAATAATTAAAGGGTTTAAAGGGACTCCACTGAGGTTTTTTGACATGATGAGACTGAAAATATTTTTCCCAGATAAATGTACCATTTGATGTAGGTTTAGACCACTAATCTTTGTGCAAAATTTCAGATCATTTGCGCACTTCGTTTTTCCAGAATAATTTTTCAAATTGTAATTAATAAATGCCCCAAAATCGGGCTAAGGAAAGCCTAAAAATACGATTTTCAATTTATTTCAAAATATATTTCTTAACTGTCTTTGCATATAATTCTGTTTAAAGTGCCCTAGCTCATTTATGTAAGAAATTCAAATGTTACGTTTTTAGGCTTTTAAACCTCAGTGGAGTCCCTTTAAAGCTCACTGTGTTTGATGAAGTATTGAAGTATACTGTAAAGAAATGTGTTTCTTATGAACATATTCTGGAGAGAGATTTAAAAGGTATTATTGTTTTTTTGGGGGGAAGCTTTTATTTTCTATATCAGAATAATTATTGAAGCTTTTTTAGCTTATTAGCAGTATTGTCAACTACATTAACGAGGTTCATTGTATTTTCTGTAGTCTGACATTTTCTTTGTAATAGATATGTAACACCTAAATTAGATATGATAACAGAATAGACTGTGCCCTAAAAAATAATATTTTCTTGCTATTTTTAGTTGATGAAGTAATCTATTTATATTAAGTGCGTATTTTGATCTACCGGTATATCTAAAATTTATGAACACCAATACAAGACAATTCAGCCTTTAATCTACTACTGTAATATTTGTATGACTTTTATCAAAATATGGACAACGTGTACTTCACCGCTGCTTACTTCATACATATGCCTCTGACTTCTTTTTGGTTCAAATTCCTCAAGGGACTTTGAATTTTCATTCATGGAAAGAAGAGTTTTAGATAGCTTTATTTAAAGCTTTATGCCTGCAAATGAGCTAAAATATTTTGAAAAGATTCAAGTCATAATTTACATGTTATGTGCAATTAATGACTGACTTGGCAGTATTATTCACCATATTTCTACCATGTTACTAACACAGTGAGGGCTATTTTTGCATATTTTGACCTCTTTCTGGTAATTTACTTGGATTTATTAGCGCTGTTTAAGTTGTGTAAATTACTTTCTTTGTTCTTTTCACAAAATTTTATTTGTAAATACATGTTCAAAATTTTCATGAAAATTAGCATAAATCTGAAGTTCTACTTACTAAGGTACCAGTTTGTGCTAAAATTAATGTACAGAAATTCAACAGTTAAAGGCACATTATGCCTCAGAAGCAAATAATTTTTTACTTCTTTAGAAAGGGAAAACATTATTTTTTAAAATGGTTTAAGAGAAATCTTAGATGCTTGTTACCTGAAAAAGTAGCGATAAATGTGAAATTATGTGAAATAATGTGTCATAAAAGTAGCAAAATGTAAACAAAGTAGTATTTTGACTTTCCACACAAAATACTACTTCACTATAATTGTACTTCTTGCCATAAAAGCAACAGATGAAAAAGATGGTTTCAGTAATTGGCCAAAGGGTAACTTTCTAGATACTGTAAAAGTACAACAAAATTAGAAAGAATTTGAGAAAAAGAAATAAAAGTATTTCTGAGAGATAATGGGCCTTAAATAAAAGCTGGAAAGTCAAAATAACTATAATCTTATCAGTGTCAATTTGACTTCAAAGCAGATGAAAAGCTTAAAAGCAAACACAAAATACTCGGCCAATTTCAAGAACGCAATATATACAGCATTATATGCTGTGTTAGAACAAATAATTATGATATCTATGTTAGTATAAATTATTTATTTAACAAAATGTTCTCTTTTTGTTAATTTCAGGGACGTTTTGACAAGAAGACCGGAAAATATTCGTGAATTTGCTGCCGACCATTTTACCGATTCTGATTTGCCTACAAGAATAGAAAGAAAATTAGAAGACCGACAGCAGAGAATCAAACAGAACAAATTCTTACAGAAAGTCTAGCTATAATTATTATATGTGTAAATCATCTTTATCCAAGAAAGCAATAAAAATCGGAACTTGATCTTGATGTATTTGTATTGTGTAAAAGGTTTAGAAATATATTTCGGCTGATGTTAACTGTAAAATTCTTGGAAATGTTTTTTTTTTTTTTTTAAATTGGAGTTTCAAATTGAGAAAATGTGCTCTATATTGTACGAGGGAGATTATAATGAAATAAAACTTTTATTTAGTAATTATTTATGTTAAGAGATATGTAAGAAATAAGGAAGAAAAAGACATGTATTTAAGCCAGTGTTTAATTAATTCAAAGAAACATTTGAAAAATGGCATACCAGTATTTGATTTAAAGATTCTCTTCTGACATTGAAATAATGCAATTTTTTTATATAAGAATGTATGTAAATATATTATTATACATATTCAGGTCAAGTACATGTCACTGCTCTCACTTGAATAAACACATTTTTTATAAAATTGAAATTTTAAAAAATTACAATGTATATCAATAATTTAAGAGCTGTTTATTCATTCTCAATTCCATACATCAGTTAGTGTTTTAAAGTGTATAAAGCTATATATTTATTGCAAAAAATGTATGTGAATTAAATTAAGTAAGAATACTTCTAAAATGCTTGTCTGTAAGAAATATGGTTGTAATTTTAACCTTTAATGTGTCAAATGGGGCATGCACAAATCATTGCTAAAGGGATAAAACCCTTCTTAAATAGCAGAATAATATTTTATTTCGGACCATTTTATTCTGTTTATGTACTGTAGTACAATATTCATGTGTGTTAAATAACAGATACATTCTATGCTACAACTCTTTGAAGAATCAACCATAAGATTTTGGAAACAATATAATTTTACTGATGATTAATTCTATAAAAGTATTTCATAAGATATAAGTTTATAACCTATAAAAATTGACAGAATTTGCTAGGCTATCAAGCACAGTGAATAATTAATGGGGTTATAAGAGTAAAATTAAATTTGACATGTAATATCACATAATTCCTATACAAAGTATGTGTGGGGTCTTTGGTTATTCTTGAAAACTTTTATATTTGAATAATTAACAACATTTTTACCAATAAGAACAATTTTCTATATTATCATGACAGTTAAACAAATTTTGAGCATTCTGCTGGAAAGCTTTTTGGATATAAGTGCAATTGATATATGTTTTAATCTTCTTTGCATAGATTCAGCATGAGTAATTTCTGGTTTATTTCACTGGCATACTTAGGGTAGGGTTCTTCATATATGTACATGCATATAAAGAAAATCAACAATTTACATGGGTATTCATTACATGTTTAGGAAAAAATTTGAAAATTTTTACTTACATTTAATATGTATTGTTTGTTAAAGTTATTTATTTCATAGAATGAAATAAAGTAGTAAAATAGAATTAAAGAATATGTTTTCATATTTTTCATGATGAAACAACTTGCATATTTTAATTAAAGGCACACTGTGCCTCAGAAACATATAAACTTTTACTTCTTTAGAAATGGCAAGCATGAATTTCATAATGTTTAGATAATGGTTTTAGAGAATGTAAGATGCTTGTCCACGATGGTTTCCTATATCACCTATGGATCTCTTCAGCACATATGAAGCTCGACTGGAATTTTGACCAGCAGTTCCTTTATTTTGAGCCCAATCCCAATAAATGTTTCAATAAGGGTTTGTTTAAATGTTAAGCATCGTTTGCTGGTAAGATTTTGTGAAAACTCTGTATTTGGAGTTCGTTTAGCGACATTTTCTTCATACACTTTCTTCATAGGCATTACATATTTTGGGGACACCAGAACCCACGACAAAAAGAATTTCTCAATAAAAGACTATAAAAATCCGAACAAAACTGGGTAAATATAGAGGAAAGCCAGGAGGGTAGAATCACATTCCGATTTTCTTAAAAAATGTTTTGAATTTTATATAAATGTTTAAAATGTTGAACACTTACCATGTGATTGACCTATTTTCTCCTTCACATATCGAGTTATACTGCACATTTTGAGCAGCGGAAATTCACATTTATTTTTTACCGATGCTCAATTTTGAGATTCATATTATTCATCTTAAATATTGTATCATTTATTTTGTTATACTGTACAGTACTTTTGAACGTGTCAATGTGCATGAAAAAAGTGCTTAAGAAGTTTGGTATATAATAATAATAATATGGGGTTCCATCCCCATGTGGACATCTGAAGAAAATAGCGATAAATGTGAAATCATTTGTTATAAAAGTAGCCAGATATAAACAAAGTAGTATTTTGACTTCCATACAAAATCACTACAACTGTACTTAATGCCAAAACAAAAAAGCAACAAATGAAATAGATGGTTCAGGTAATTGGCCTGTGAATAACTTTTTGGATGCTATAAAGTACACCAAAATTAAAAAAAAAACTTTTGAGAAATAAAAATAAAAGCGAGGCACCTTTAAATCGACTTGTTGAACGAACCTTTCATCATCTACCGAGATTTTTTTGTCCAACTCTGAAATGATTGAATAGTACACATTGCAGACCATGGTAAGTCGGCATAATCATAGAAGCTGGTCTGCACTGGTATAACATGTATTATTTCATTTAAGAAATTATCAAGGTAGCTTACGGAACATGTATCGTGCCGGGTATGTACTCTGGGTGCCCCGTTTAAGTCTGAAATGATGCCCCGATGGGGCACATGCGGTCTTCCTCCACCAATTACGCTGGAAAGTCGCATTTTGACCTTTGCAGTAAAACTACATAAAAAAACAACTTTAAGATATTATTCTGGTAATTTTAATGAAGAGATTCTGGTAATTTGAATGAGGTGATTGTTATTAACCTTGACGTACACCATAATTATATGTGATTGAGAAGGAACACTAAGAATTTCAAGTTTGAAGAAATCTCTAAAAACAAGAAGATAGGATGAAAAACTAACAATTTTAGCATTCTATTTGAACGCTCTTGAAACAGACCAGTGTCATCTTTAAATGGTTATAAGGATTTTTCTGTATATATTATTTTTGATTATTTAAATTTCCCTCGGGCGTTTAATGCATCGCCTAAGCGGTGCTCTATTTGTTTTACCTTTATTTCTATCTCGGACTTTAATGGTTAACCAAAGTCCGTGTTTCTGTGCATACCTATGACACTATGTTATGCTAAAAAGTTGAATTCATGAGTTTTTCTTAATACATATGTTATTAAAACTTTATAGTTAGTATTATTCATTTTTTGATTGCCAAGGAGAGCTATTGTACTTATACAGGCATCGACTTCACTGTCACACTTTGGTTTAATCATTGCATATAAGTTGATATCTCCAAAACTATTGAAGGCAATGGATTGAAACTTCACACACTTATTAAGAGCATAATAAAAGGTCACTAGCCAAAGCCCATAACTGTAAAACGAATTTTAATAATTTTGGCTTTTTATTGAACTTATAAAATTAACAGCATCCATACTCAAGCATTGAGAAAAGTCGGGCGCGTTGTCCTACCGATAGCTCTTGTTCTTCTTACTTTTTATTACATCAGTCGAGCATGTTGTCTCCTTTGTCAGGTATTGTTTTTAAACTGGAGCCTGAAACCTGGTTTAATCAAATGAAACCTCCTAGAAGGTGCAAGGCGCCTTTTCATTTAATCTAGCAGAGTTTGATCTATTTTGTTTGATCTTTTTAAATGGCTTCGGCATAAAACCTACAACCGTCTAATTATAGTAAAAACATACAAAGTATTGTAAACACGTTTAAACTTGGAGGAAAAACAGGAAGTGTAAACAAACTCTGCTTAATTTATGCTTAACCTTCTAGCAACGACTTAATCTTCTAAAGCGACTCGTGCTGACTAATATACTAATCCGGGTCTGATCATGGTCTGCACTGTTCTCTATTCAGTTGGTGTAGGTGAACTTATTTGAAAATTTTACCTTAACAAGTCCATTTAAGATATTTAGTGAATCTGTTTAAGATATACGTGTATATACATGTAGCATGGTAAGTGTTAATAATCACAGGCACTTTTTACAAGCCAGTCTTAATAAAAATGGACCAAACCTAATTGAACAAACACTTGACTATTAAAGTTTCCGTCGTACTTATAAATTAAATGTCAATCTTTTATTCCGGACAAAAACATTCATCGGTTTGCCTGAAAATGTCACTATATGTAATAAATGATGAACAGTGCAGATCAAGGTATGATCATACGAGCGCTTGAAGGCTGCGGATATATATACGAGTATAAATACATGTATATATGGGAGTGTTTTAAATGCTTTCGAAGAGTTTTAAATGCTTTCAAAATTTTCAATCAGAACATGTCACATGATGTTTTCAAATGTTGCCGTTTATCTGAAATTAAAACTAGTTTTCAAGTCGAAATTGTTCTTGTTCTGTTTCTTTTTTTTTGTTTCTTTTTTTTTTTTCAAAACGGCGCATGTTAGGTTTTATTGATATATATGATAAGTTTATTGACATCATGTACATTTTATTTGGGTTTGAAGGCGTTTGGAGCTCCACACCTCAAGTGTCTGTGACATTGTACATTCTGTTAAACTTAGATTTGCATAATTATAAACTTCATGTAAAACTGCAACACTAATAACAAATTGTATAAGGAAACATAGTTGGTCAGTGTATATATCTTTCCTTTTTCGACTTAATTACTACATGTACTATATCATATTAATTTTTCAAAGATAAATTCTGCTTCAGCCGGTGCTTGTGGGGTGGTGGCGGTAACTTGCATTACTGGTGTCTATATCGGACCGAGCCTGTAAGCGTGTTTTAGTGTTTCTACATAACTTTATGTGAGGAAACTATCCAGCCCAGGTGGCTGTTCGTATCTGAAATAATGCACGGAAGGGCACCTGAGGTCTTCCTCCACCAGTAAAGCTGGAACGTCGCCATATGACCTATAATGTGTCGTTGTGACGAAAACCCCAATTAAACAAACACACATTACTTTACTTTCTTTAAAAACAATGGATTTCTCCACCTCCACAGAAAGAAGGATGCATGCAGTTGCGTGGAGACAAATTGGAAGGCAAATACAGCTCAAGTTTCTATTTTTTAAAAATATTTAACGTTACGTGAATTGGTAACTTAAAGTGACTCCGACATAGCGGGACTAATGAGAACAAAATTCTGCATTTAATACATTTAATGTACAATAAATTGCATAATTAAAATTCAAATAATTTAAAGTACAGTAAACATTCTACATGAAATCATTGATTGATGCTACACCATTTCCGAGGGCAGTCATAACAATGACGGACGGCCTTCTATCTTCCCGGATCTGCACAAGTCGATTCCTATAAAAACACCTGGAAAAAAAACCAACGAGATATAATGTACGTTACAAACCTCATTAGTATGCTAAGTTTAAAAACTTCTTCGTTGTCAATAAGTTCGCTCTACTTTTCAAGGCATATTTAAGCCAGAACGCAAAATAGAGATACATGTATCATCAATGGAAACAATTCAACATAAATTTATTGTTAATCAAAAAACGGCAAGAAATGGAAACTATGAAAAGACCATACCTAAAATGTTCGTAAATTAATATCGTCCCTTTTTGCTTATAAAGCCTCCTTTGCCAAATCCACCTCCAATGTTACCACCGAATCCGTATCCACCATAACCTCCGCTATAACCGCCATAACCACCTCCAAAACCTCCTTTGCCTTTGCCATAACCACCTCCCATATAACCGCCATAACCACCTCCACCATAACCTCCCTTTCCACTGCCATAACCACCTCCATTGTAGCCGCCATAACCACCTCCAAAACCTCCTTTGCCTTTGCCATAACCACCTCCCATATAACCGCCATAACCGCCTCCACCATAACCGCCCTTTCCACCACCTCCAATGTAACCGCCATAGCCGCCACCACCATAACCCCCCTTACCACCTCCGTAACCGCCATAACCACCTCCAATGTAACCGCCATAGCCGCCACCACCATAACCTCCCTTGCCTCCTCCGTAGCCGCCATAACCACCTCCAATGTAACCGCCATAGCCGCCACCACCATAACCTCCCTTGCCTCCTCCGTAACCGCCATAACCGCCACCACCATAACCTCCCTTGCCTCCTCCGTAACCGCCATAACCACCTCCAATATAGCCACCATAACCACCACTGCCGTATCCTCCTCCGAAACCTCCCTTTCCTCCGCCTATGATGCCACCTTTGCCTCCATAGCCGCCATAGCCTCCGTATCCTCCACCCCATCCACCTTTTCCCGATCCGCCTTTACCATAACCGCTTCCTCCTCCATAACTCATATATCCGCCATATCCGCCTCTTCCTCCGTAACCTCCGTAACCAATGTTACCACCACCCCATCCTCCTTTACCTGTTTCATATTCAAACATCATTATTAAACTTAAGCATGCTCGGTGCAGACCAATATCAACCGGCACATCCGTGCATCATGGTCTACACTGTTCGCTATTCAGTTAGTACAAATTTTGAAAATTCTCTTAAAAACATTAAAATTTAGGTTTTGTCCAGGTTCCAAGGTGGACAAGTCCATTTTCATACATTGTATTGTACTATCATGATATTTATATCTGGGTCGGAAATTTTATTCGAATATTCGGAACACCTTTTTAAACGAATCTGAATAGACCATATTCGAAAAAAAAGAAAAGAAAAGGAAATTAATAAAGATTTAATAATGTTGCTTACCTCCTTTACCGCCCTTCCAATAGCTGGCCTGAGCAAAAACAGAGCTCACTACCACTAAAGCTACTAGTTTTAACATGTTGCTGAAAATAGAGTGAAAGTACATTTTTTTATATGTAATAAATGAAATGTTTCACATACGCACAGTCTTAACTTTATATACTGCAGTAATGTCCTTAACACAGACGCGAGGTTTCATTGCAGTTTACTGTATCAATAAAAGAACCATTACCATCATATAAGGCATATTGCTTATAGTTTCTAAAAACCCATTTCATCAGTTACGCAGCCCGGGCAAAAGTATAGAAATTCAGGATGGCCGCAAATAATTATGGTCGCCAAAATTGTTAAAAGAAAAGTTGCTCGAATAGTTGTCGACTTAGGAAAATTGCATCAAAGGCTAATTAATTAAGTCCCCAAAAATGATTTTTTTTCTGTTTATCAAAACCTACAAAAGCATATTGACCTAAAGAAAGTACAATTGCTATATTTAATAAATGTTTTGCTTTTTTTTAAATCCACGATTCATTTGAAATAAATAAATAAATAAATAAATACAAGAAAGAAAGAGTGAAAAAAATGAAATGTAGATTGACAATAGGATTAAGGTTTTCATGGCATATATCTTTCTTTAATTAACAATTTCAATACAAATAAATAATTTAGAAATGCAGAATTACATTGATTAGCATATTTGAAGTAGATCATGTAACGTGAAATTGATTAAAAAAAACAAATAAAAAAAAACGTTTAAACCTGTTGCTAAGTATACAACAATACAAAAATATCTAATTATTTTAAAAATAAGAGAACATTTTTGTCTAAGATAATGCTTCTTATTGGAAAGAAGATTTACTTACAGTTTTAAGAAGTCCCTGGCAAATGCAATGTCTTGCGCATCAGGGCCCGTTTATAAAGGCAATTATTGTAATAAAATGGGGTCAAGTTCATATGGTCAGTAAAACATAATTAAGAGGCCCTGTGCATGCTAGGAGAAACAATAGAAAAAGAGTATTAATATATAGTATAATGCTTTTGTTTTGTTTCGTTTGGTTTTACGGCGCTCCAACAAAATTTAGGTAATACGGCGAAGAAACAGTAATGATGATTTTGACAAACTTAAAGCAACACTAGGGGACACAACAATCACACCTGTTGGAGCTAAAAGATGAATAGACTCCTGATATTTGAACCCATTTAGTCGTCTCTTGCTTAATTAACAGTAAATGTTAATTTATCAGTATATATAGTTTATTATGATGAATTAAAATTTCCACTATATGTTTGTTTTGAAAATAAATGAATAAATGAATGAATAAATAAATAAATTAATTAATAAAAATAGATAAATAAATACAAATAAAAAAAATAAACAATTAAATGAATATATAAATAAACAAATGAATGAATGATAACTGAAGAAATAAATAAATAAATTATAGATGAATGAATGAATGAATGAATGAATGAATGAATGAATGAATGAATGAATGAATGAACGAACGAACGAACGAATGGGCAAGTTAATGGATGCATATATCTGGTTCTTTTTTTTACATTTATCAAATGACTAAATACACAAAGGGCCTCAATTTTATGACCAACTAATTAAAAATAAGTCCATACCTAATTAAACTAGGCTGTCATATTCCTACATGATTCTCACTAGAGAATGAATAAAAATGACCAAATTGATCATTACTCTTGAATAAATAATGACGCGTATATGAATAAATAGCTTTAATGGACATACTATTGTCATCTTAGCGAATGACCACGTGATTGATTGATGCGAATCTCAGCAAATAAAGTACTTGTAGTTATAGTCGAATTTATATTTTATCATAATTATATGCTATATATTAAGTAAGTACACACCGTACAATCAAATGGGCAGACAGCTGTTCCAGCGTCCACAGCTGTACCAGTATATACATGTCGGTGCGGGGAATACCATTGACGTAAGGTAAGTATTCATCTATTTTTAACATATCCCAACTGTATTCGAGTAAATCAATGTTATGGATTCATAGTCAACATCCAAAGGGGCATGCTAACAAATTTCTGGCCCTGTGCAAGCTTTACTTCACATGAATTTTGACTGAAAATAACCACACTATCCGATGAGATGCGGTATTTTTAGTTTGAAGTCACAAAAACATATATTTTCTCATGATAATTAATCCTTTTTTCATACGATTCGTTAACGTCAACATTTTGTCATTAAACATTCCAAACCGTACCTTCAAAAAAGCTTTTCTGTTAAAGTTATAAGGTATTTAAGTTTGTGTGTCATCAAAATTTTAGTAACGTTATCAGCTGTTCGCCTCTTTTTAATGATAACATCGACAGCAATTTATCGGCAAGAACGAATAACGCTGAAAGCTGTTCAAAGAAACAATTACATGTATTTACAACAGCGCTTTTGTCCTACAGTAACTAGGAAAGAGTAAAACTTTTTTGTAAATTGAGAATATTACTTTATTCATGATACTTTCTAATTACATTATTTTTATTATTACTTTCTATTATTTGTTATATCTCAGGTTAGAGACCTTGATCTCCATTTACCGCACTGTATTTCAATATAAAACGGTAGCAAAACCTATTAAAATGGACTCCACTAAGGTTTTTTGACAAGACGGGACTAGAAATATTTTTTGAGATTATTTCTCCATTTGATGTAGATCTATACTAATAATTTATATGCAAAATTTCCGATCATTAGCTTGCTCCGTTTTTCCAGAATATTATAAAAGTGAAAAAATTACCCAAAATTGAAAAGAGTTTAAACGCTTTTCACTCAAATCGGACTGAGAATAGCACAAACATATGATTTTCAATGTATTTCTCCTATATTTCTTAGTTATATTTTATTAATATTTATGTTTTAGTGCTCATGTTTTTTTATGTGAAAAAATAAAAGTTCATGTTTTTAGGCTTATAAACCTCAGTGGAGTTCCTGTAATAGGTTTATAAAATGTTTAAGTCAAAAGGCAAAGGCAAAGGCAAATTTAACGCTTAATATTCAGTCTTGTAAATGAAGGCATCCATCAAGTGTTATTATAAATAATTCATATAATGGACTAGTCCTATGCAGTGAATGGCTGTGTAACCCGAGATATGAAAGTGCATGGAAAAACATGTTGTTATTTATCCTTGAAATCTGTTTTAATGTATAGTGCAATAGAAATAATAACCATTCTTAAAAATTATACAAATTTTTATTTTTTAAATAAATCATTTTACATGGCAGACATCTCGGGTTACACATCCATTTACTGCATGGGACATGTCTACTATATGCCATTATTTATAATAACACTTGATGGATTTAGTTATAATACAGAGTATTCGTATTAAGCGTTAAATTTGCCTTTACTTTCTTTGAATTTAACATTTCAGAAACATATTAAAAGATCTTGCTACCTTTTTATATAATAATAATAATAATAATAATAATAATAATAAATAATATCTTTATTTAAAGAAGGTTATACATTATTAACTTACAATAACAATCTTATTTCCGATGTGGCCTTCTGAAATAGAAAACAACAACAACAACAGGACATGCATAGGAAGAACAATGAATGTATAATATGTAATTTTTAGAATATTACAACTCATATACTTTCTGCAGACAATTTGTTTTAACATTTACGTATATTGCATCATTCGTTCGTTTGTTCATTCGTTCGTTCATTTATTAATTAATTCATTCATTTATTCATTCACTCACTCATTCATTCATATGAACAATATCAATATTGAAATACAGTGCGGTTAATTGGAGATATAGGCCTCTCAGCTAAGATACAACAAATGATAGAAAGTAATAATAAAAATAATGTAATTAGAAAGTATCATGAATAAAGTAATATTTTAAATAAACAAAAAAATGTTTTACTTTTTCCTAGTGACTGTAGGACAAAAGCTCTGAAAAGTGTTTCTTTGAACAGCTTTCAGCGTTATTTATCTTTGCCGATGAATTGCTGTCGATGTTATCGTTAAAAAGAGGCGAACAGCTGATAACGTTACTAAAATTTTGATGACACACAAACTTAAATACCTTATAACTTTAACAGAAAAGCTTTTTTGAAGGTATGGTTTGGAATATTTAGTGACAAAATGTTGACGTTTACGAATCGTATGAAAAAAGGATTAATTATCATGAGAAAATATAAGTTTTTGTGACTTCAAACTAAAAATACCGCATCTCATCGGATAGTGTGGTTATTTTCAGTCAAAATTCATGTGAAGTAAAGCTTGCACAGGGCCAGAAATTTGTTAGCATGCTTCTCTGGATGTTGACTATGAATCCATAACATTGATTTACTCAACACAGTTGGGATATGTTAAAAATAGATGAATACTTATCGTACGTCAATTATATTCCCCGCGCCGACATGTATATACTGGTACAGCTGTGGACGCTTGGCAGCTGTCTGCCCATTTGATTGTACGGTGTGAAGTAATTCTTTGACACCCGTAATGAATGCCCTTTACATCTTAAGTATTTTGTAGAAAAGTTATATTTTTATTATCTTTTTTAAATGTTCAAAGGAAAATAAATTAGATACTCAAATATAGCAAATTTATCGTTGTACAAAGCAGAAATGGGGAAAATAAAAACAACACACAACACAACAGTCTATTGTTTGAATTCATGCATGGCATATAGAATAGAATAGAAGATAATTGAATTTATATGTTTGAATATGCACACCATAACCCACGTCGGTAAGAATATCTCCACAAAAACTTCATAAAAATCACAAAAATCCGGAATAAAAATGGATAAATGTAGAGGAAAGTCAGGATTGTAAAATCCCATCTTTAAAAAAAAACTTTGAATTTTACATAAATGTTAAAAAACGTTGAAAACTTGCGCGGTGATTGACCTATTTACTGCTTCACATATCTGGATATACCTCACATCTGGATGAGCGGAAATTCACATATGTATTTTACCGATGCTCAATTTTGTGATCCATATGGGGTTCCACCTCACGTGACATGCATGCCAAAATAAAAACTGAATCATTAAAATCCTTCAAAAGTTATCCTACGTAAACTAATAATTTTATGGAACTTTGCTTAAGCAGGGCATAACTCTTTCAATAATATGTTGATTGCAGTTTTGTAATTATACTTACATACTAAATATAAATGCATGTAGAATTATTAAAATCCGACAGAAACTAATAATTTTACAGAAAAAATGCATGCAAAAAGGGACATAATCCAATTAGTAATAAGTTGATTGCTTTTAACATGTGTGTGTGTGTGTTTTATGCCCCCGCCATGTAATGGCCGGGGCATATAGTGTTACCCTGTTCCGTCATTCCGTCCTTCCGTCCTTCCATCCTTCCGTCCTTCCATCCTTCCGTCCTTCCGTCATTCTGTCATTCCGTCATCATCAGTTTCCGTTCATTATCTTAAGAACGGTTGCACACATTCAACTCAAATTTGACATATGGATATGTCATGAGAAAATACAGGTCAAGTTCGAATTTGGTCATGGTTCGATGATTTTTGGCAGAGTTATGCCCCTTTTACTTTGAAAATAATATGAAATTTCAGTTTCCGTTCATTATCTCCCAAATGGTACAACACATTCAACTCAAACTTGACATATGGATATGTCATGAGAAAATACAGGTCAAGTTCGAATTTGGTCATGGTTCGGTGATTTTTGGCAGAGTTATGCCCCCTTTACTTTGAAAATAATATGAAATTTTCAGTTTCCGTTCATTATCTCCCCAACGGTACAACACATTCAACTCAAACTTGACATATGGATATGTCATGAGAAAATACAGGTCAAGTTCGAATTTGGTCTTGGTTCGATGATTTTTGGCAGAGTTATGCCCCTTTTACTTTGAAAA